TCAGAATATCTTTGATAATGTCCGGATGTGGCACTGGGGACATCGAAAGCGCCCACAGATATCGCTCCATTTCGTCACCAGTCTCATCTTGACGGAGAATCTTCATAGCTGCCTGATGAGTTGCGGAGGTCGATGCTGATCCTAAAATGTCCAGGAGTTGGGTCTTTAGGGGAAGATTCCGTGGACTCTTCAGGATCCTTGTGAGTTCATCGGCGGAAGCGTCACGCACCAGGGGAATTAGCTTCAGGAATGCTGTTGCGGATTTGGCTGTTCCCAGGGCGGACACGTCTAGGGCCTCGCGGTTTTGGTCGATAACTTGCTCCAGCTGAAAAGAAAAGGGTTTATGATCCAATCGTCATGATTAATCCTCATAATGCTATTGCACGATGAAACAATAAGAAAAATGTGACAATTCGGCTCACGTACCGTTCGGCAGCCAGACTCTGGACAGGTAATCGGTTCGACCTGAAGATCGATCTCCACTTCCCTGTACCCAGGTTGTAGGTGGGCAATGGCGTCTCTGATATTGCTGCCGTCGATTCTTGACACAGTGATACTTGCAGTCTTCTGGAGGATTCTCTGAGTGGTGACTGTCGCTCCAACCTCTGGTTTTGCCTGGAGCGTCACCTCGTGGATTTCAGTCTCTTCGATTTTTGTCGGTATGAGCAAAGGGTCCAACGTATACACCGCAAATCTAGTGCTGTCGAGTTTGACTCCCAGGATCGGATTCGGGTGCTGATTCCGGAGCTGCGACAGGTTGACGTTGCAATGGTGTTTGGACTTGGTGATGGTGTGAGGAGTTCTGGATTCGTAGGTGACCTTGCAGAGGCCTGAGGCGTCATGCTCCTGGTGATGTCCATCGAGGGTTTTGTATTGGAAAAGACTAGCGAGTCCTCGCTTGAGATTCGCGGAAGAAATCGTCTCGTCTGGACTCAGAAAGACTTTGAGGATCTCGCCGTTCCTCCACAGCAGGTAGATCGGATGCTGGGGGACTTGGTCTAGCTTCGACGAGTGCTCCACGAATCCCTCCGGCTCCGGGGCCTTTCGGGATTTTATGTACAGTTGGGGACTGATCAGCTGAATCATTCAGAACAATATCCATGTATCAAACTATTTCTCAAAGTGATGTACCAAAATTTTTGCAATTTCTGCTTCAACTCATCGGTATTTAATAAATTCCTCAATGATAAGTTAAATACCCGCAATCGTCGAACCGAAGGTTATCAAAATGACTCGACTACCTCACCCTATACTTTCGTCATCTTATTATAGAAGTTGATAAAGACTGAAAACGCGTGGCGTATGAATACGGAATTACTGACGGACATATGCACTCCGTAATTTTTTCCTCAACTAAACTCATTACGATAGTTGATGGAACTCAACAAAAGGAAGTTTTACTGACTTTATTGTCGTCGTCGTGACGTTTTAATTGATTTACTGAAGTTCATTATCATGCTGGACAAATTATTTCCTGTATCAGTAAAAATTAAAAATTCAGTATCAATTCCGGTGATTGAGACGGTAAAACTCGACGATTACCGGAAATTGACCGGATCATAACTTCTGAGTTGTCTGCGATTAAATGAATATGATTAAAAATTCATTTTATATTTTACGGTTTGTTTGTTGTTATTTTTAACATTTTTATGATCTGTAATTCTGAAAAGTGCGCGGATAAATCTTCAGGCATTTCGTTTTTCAATTTATACCGCAGACTGATTTTTATTCGGCATTACCCCAATTAATAATTCACCTAATTAATTCCCAATTAATATTATTAACTAAAAAGAGAAGAGAAAAGTATTTTAATGACAAATTAAATTTATAAAAATGAAAGTTAATCCCTAAGTACCATTTGGCGATCAGAAGTAGTCAAGTAAGATCTAAGGCCCTAAAGTAAGGCCCAAGTCGAATTTAAAATGAATCTCTTGAGTACCCGTAGAGCGACGTACCTCTTGGCTAAAGTATAGTGATAATTTATTCCTCAAGATCAAACGATATAAGTGAAAATACAAATTGAAAGTGTTTATTATTTTTAGTAGCATAAACAATGGATAAAGCATAGTTGCAGTAAACAATACCTTAATTTCCAGGAGGATCGTATCAAGATCCTTTGGATCATGCCAAACAGCAGCGACACTCAGTTCTCCAGTGTATTGAAATCCCACATCACCACTGGACTTTGGGATACCAGACTCTCTCGACAGGACAATAGTTGTCAATTGATAATTAACTCCATTACCAACAGTCCATCCTCTTGACGCACTCACAGCAGCTGCAATCACCAGAATCAATGACCATTTTGAATACATTTTGCCGGTCGGAGTGGAGATGGAGATTTGGATTTTTAACTGAAGAATTTTGATGTTTTAATGCCGAGTTGAGGAATTTATCGGAGAAACAGCCGTTGGCCGGCACTCGACTGACATAAACCCACTGGAACTCAAAACCCTGGGGCACTGGTTACGTCTGTGTGATCTGATACTTGTGTTGATAGAACAGCGATGAGTTGGACAATTTGTGGATGTGCGTGTGGACGAAAGAGGGGATTCACCGTGCGTGAGGGAAACCGTTAATCGCTTGAACTATGTCCGTTTGAGGTTTGTTATTCTATTGTATTTGAGTTCAATGGTCAAATTGTGTAGCCCCAAAAATTATCTTAATCATTTCAGTGGTTAGCACTGAAAGTGTGATTATTTCCTTGTTTCTACCGCCATCATTAATCCTTCAAGTCATTTCTTCCCGAAAATGATTAATTACTAATTGAATTTTCCTCTTTAATTATGAATTTTTTT